GTCACTTCATCCCTCTTCAATAGCAATATATATTGCTTCACTTCAATAAAATTAATTCAGTAAAAAGGAAAATAATTTGTAAACAGCTAACATGGACTGAACTTTTATATAGTATTCTGATACATTTGGCATTATATTATCAATAAATGTTTGAAAAAGTATAAATAAATACAATTGCATACCTTAAACATGATGTGCAAGTCAGCTGAGTTGGCTGAATGCTGGGAAATTGTTCATAAGTATTTTCAGAAGATCAAAACTGGAATTTGATCTGACCATGCTCATAGATTTTCTTCCCCTAACTCTTGTGGAATTATTTATTCTTTGTACCAATGTTTGGGGAGGAGTCTTCTTTATATAAATGCAGGAACTCATACCCCCCACACTTGTCCATCCCTCCAAAAAGTGTGTATAAATAAACATATATTCTCTAGAATCCTATATTCACATTCATCTTACTATGCTAGTGCTGCTGTTAATGTAACCTCTTTGTTAATACTCCCCTCATGGTGTTATTGAGCCTCTTTGAAGATCACCTCATGAGAGCTGGAACTATTTAAACCCTCCCATTCATTTGCAATGGCCACTTTTTAAAACTTTAAAATTTTTCCTTTTCAATTTTAGTTCAACATTATTTATATTGTGGTGGGACTAGAACCTCATTGTGTTAGAATATAAAGAACATAAACACAGAACATGAAGATGGTCCTGCTCTAAAGAGCTTTCAAAGTAACTTTTGAGGGCGACCGAAATTGCAAACAAAGGATTTAAATATCCTGCGCTTTATTAGCATTTTGGAAACTGACTAGCCCGGATTAACTGCCTGCGTCTACATGTGGCAGAGAAGTGCGATTTTGAGATAAACCCCTTAGTTCGAATTAACAGTTTAAACCTCATGAGAAACCCAGAAAAATAAAGTAATAAGACCCAAAATTTATTATTTTAAGAAGAAATTGTTATGACTTTGTGGTACTATTCTTTCCCATGTGAATGTCAATGCCAATCTGAATGTAACCAGATTCAGTTCTGAGATGATGAGAAAGAGACTCACTCTACCCAAATCTCAAAAACAAAATTCATGAGTAAGCAAAGGGAACACCCTCAAAGTGCAATAAAATGTGAAATACTTAGAAGAGTTAACTTTGTAGAATAAAAAAAATGAATGTATGTTTGAAAAAGAATTTAAACCCTGGTATGGCATTTTAAAAGCTATGCTTCTTAAAATATCAGGTTTGCACAGTTAAATCCCAAATTAGAAATGTCTGTGAATGACATCAGAGAATACCCTTTGCTACTAAGGCAGAGAGAGCATATTAAAATGTTACTCCTTGCCCTGGCAATGTTAGAAGCAGAATTTTCTAATGTATTATTTAGCACTGTTATGTAATGCATTAAGCAGTCACTGCTGAGACAAAGGCTTTCAGAAACCAACAGCCTCTCTGATAACAAAAAATCTAAGGTAAGATTTAATGCCAAGTCAATATAAAAAAATGAGTTAATACAGTTCAGCCTGCCTGATTTATATAGGCCAATCAAGTTACAATGCTGGGCATGGCCAAGTGAAAGGAGAATAGATTTACCTGAGTGAAGTCTTAATTTAATCAGCTGGCTCAAGAGAGCTGAAGTCAGCAGGCTGGGATGATATAAACCACAGTGGAGAAACAGTGTCGGTACCACACTTGAAATGCAGAATGACAGTGATGGAAGGGGAAGCTAAGCCCTGTCAGAACACACCTATTTCAGTGATTTATTCTTAATTTATTTTAATGACCCTTGAAGATTTATTTTTCCAAGTGTTCTCAAAATACTGATATTTTCTAAATGTTCACCATGTGTTTCTCCTCCTTCTATTAACTTTACCACAAAATTATTATTAAAGAAAAACTGTAGCTATATGCTGTTGTGCGACTGTAAGAACCGCTGAAGAGGCTAATCTGTTTCCACTGCATACTTGCCTATATCCCTTCTCTGAATTCAACCTTGTTTCAGTTCTAGAAGTTCATTAGTTCCTCCTCAGATTAATGTTGATATCATGAGACAGATGAAGGAATGCGTAACATTTGTTTTACAATTTAGATTGGTGAAAGAGCAGTGTGTATTTTTCCAATACAATAGTTCATTTTATTATGAAATGAGTTTATTGATGGTTGTTCAAAGCTACTGACTTGCAGACAGTGAGCTCAGATTACATTTACATTTCCTGAATCCTTTTCGAGAATGTATTTCTATAATTCAGAGTTGTGATCTGAAAATAGAGCTGTTGCTTAATTTGTATTACAAATCGATGTCTTTGCTCTCTGTGCAAATATACATTGCATCCTCTTTTTTCACAAAATACAGATGTGAACAAGGGCCACTAACTAATGAACTATTTGGGTTTTGCTAGACACTTGGGTGTTTTAAAATGAATGCACCCAGCGTGGGATGACATGGGAATTTTTCCAGTAGTGCTACTAAAAGAACTGAGGGGCAGCAGGATTTCAGTACTATACACAAGTAGCTGTCATTATTTACTTGGACTTGGCAAAACTACCATCATTGTTTTACATGTGCAGGAGCCCTTTAATAAAATAATGTTAACAAATTCCAGACAGAAAGAAAATAACTTCATATTGACTTCATTTGCATTTACTCTGAAGCTACGTCTAGACTGCAGGCTTCTTTCGGAAGAAGTGTTTCCGGAAGAGATCTTCCAAAAAAACTTCTTCCAAAAGAGAGCATCTACAAAGCAAAAGTGCATTGAAAAAGCTATCTGCTTTTTCAAAAGATAGCATCCACACTGAATGGACGCTATCTCGCATTTAAGCTGTGATTACTATGGACAGAGTGGCCACCAGGGCACCCGTGCTTTTTCCTCTTTCCTCCTCTTTCGAAAGAACTCCCTCCTCCCTGTCCACACATGCCTTTTCCTGAAAGAGCTCTTTTGGAAAAGGGCTTCTTCCTCATAGAAAGAGGTTTACCAGTGTCGGAAAAACCCCTCTCTTCTTTTCATTTTTTTTCAAAAGACCGCGATTGCAGTGTGGATGTAAGTGAAGTTTTTTCAGGAAAACAGCTGTTCCCGAAAAAACTCTGCAGTGTAGACATACCCTGAGTGGTTCAGCTTGAGCCTGTTTCCACCAGTCTCCATTGCTGCATTGGGCCTACTGGGCTTCATGCTCCACTTGGGCATGCTTCAAAACAGAACACATACACATGCACCCATGTTAATATGCACTCGGTACAAATTAAGACTGGCACATCATAAATACTTCTTAATCTGAGTGTGCCCATTACCCTGTAGGAGAGGCCAGGCAGCAAACATGCACCAAAGCATGTTGGAGTAATCCTAATGGAAACAGACAGATCAGGATACAAGTGGCACAGCAGAGCTAATAAGAATGAAATTTCAAAAAACATGCCCTAAGGCAAGATCTGCAGGAAGAAACATATCCACAGACTCCCACCAGAGAACCTCAGAAACAAAAAGGAGTTAATGGGTTTGGGCCCTAAAAGGAAATTTGAACAGGGAAAAATAACGTCTGTAAATTATTAATATTTCACCCTTAATGTGATTAATGGCCAAGAAGAGTAATTAAATAAATGGAGGACTGACCGTACTAAACAAGATATTTGCTTCAATATGGGAACCCATGTAGATTTATCTGATTGGCATGAGGGGGAAAGGTCTTTTCATGTTTACCTTCTGACCATTTTTCTCCTTGAGCCAGAATGTGCAACTCTAATGAGGAGAAAAGCAGGGTGGGTAAGACATCCCTTTATTCCCTTGTTTGCTTCCCATTCTATGGGTAGACGTGGCAGAAAGAAAGCAGCTGATGTCATTCTGCTACATCCTCCATCCACTTCCCTTGCACAGAAAGGCTTGGGGAATAGCCAGAGCTTTACCACACTCACCAGTGTAGCTACACCAGCATGTCAAAGGATACACATTGGGCACACATTTGAAGTAGGAATAAGATCCTCCGGAAAAGGGCGCTTTTTCCGGAGGATCGGGGCCAGTGTAGACGCTTTTTTCCGGCTTTTCTAAAAGACGGAAAAAAGCGGCGGACATTTTTATTTAAATGCCGCGGGGGATATTTAAATCCCCCGCGGATTTCCCTATTACGATCTCTGAAATTAACATGCCCCTTTCGGAAAAGGGGCCAATGTAGACGTAGCCATTGAGTAAAAGGATGGTGCGGACTATCTTCCCAGGCCTCAGAGAGCAAGGGAAGGAGACAGTCTGCTCCTGAGATAGCTCACCTACGCACTGCGCCACACAGTCCCACACTTGACCCCTAACATTATGATTTACAGTGTGATTGAATTTACATTGTGCTATCACTTGCTCAGTTCAGTACCATGGGAGAAAACCACCATTGGTCTACAGCAAGATGCCATTGCAGTTGAGATTGGGAAGTTGGATGCGGATACTAACAGGAAGCAATGTTTAGAACCTTCCACAAGAAGGTATTACCTTCAAAGCTGGTTGGGAATTTTCCAACTTTGTTGTTGTTGTTGTTGGAAAACACGAATTCATCCACACATCAATGTTTTGTGGAAAATCTCTGTTTCGGTGAATGTCCACTCGCTTTCTGCCAGCAAGCCCAGGCTTTCAGACCCCTTGCCGTGCAAGAGAAGGCCAGCAGTCCTGGAAGCCACAGCTGAAGCAAAGGCTCTCAGTTCTGCAGTAGGACCCCACCTCCAAGGTGACTTACCACTGGGAAGTTCCCAGGCTGCTCCTGAGTTTTGACCAGCTCTGGTATACATACCTTAGTCTTATTCCCTATATGCTCAGATGAGGGCATTAATTACAGTACTTACTTTTGAAGGCATTCTAGTATTATACATTGTGATAAGCCTCCCCTTAAGATAAGCAATTGACATCTCTTTTCTTCTCTTTTCCCTTTTTTTTTTTTTGTTTTTTTTTTTTTTTAGCCTCCCCTTAAGATAAGCAATTGACATCTCTTTTCTTCTCTTTTCCCTTTTTTTTTTTTTTTTTGGTTTTTTTTTTTTGTTGTCAGATGTACTCACAAAAAAGAAGGCGTATCCGGAAGATAGGAGTGAACCAAAACCAACTGTGAAAAAGATTGACACTACAGCTACTACAACCATAGTCAAGTCATCTTCTAAACATGATACTGCAGAAAATGTGGGCAATCTAGCCTCAAGTTCTTTGCTTTTCATTGTAACAGCACTGGCGATTTTGTGGCACTCTCTGTCATAGTAACATTGTATTGCAACAATTGTCCAAGAATTTCTGTCCCTTGTCATTTATGCCTACAGCCTTACCCAGTGGAAAACAAAGGGAAATGGCTCTCTAATGTTATATGGTATGTTAGAACGAATGTTTTTAAAAAGGCTGAGATTGGCTGATAGTGAGTGTCAGCACTTACACTGTGTCTAAAGAGGGTCTTTGATAGTATGTTATTGACTCAAAAAATAAAGGGACTGATAACTGGGGATCTTGTTAGTTTAAGTTATTGTGAGGTAGAAGTAACACTAAAATTGTAAATTACTCTGTTGGCATTTCCCCCATTTTACTCACTGAGATAATCTCACTAGTTGTTTCTGTTTGTTAGATTCTTAAAATAAGTTCAAATGAATGATCATTCTTCAGGTGAAAGCTAATACATATGTCATTTCTCTAGTGAACAGCTCATAACCTATGTCTACAGTGGTGAACCATGTTCAGTGAAGTACTTCTACTCGTTTCATAAATTTCCTAAGTGGCCAAGAAGATAAGAGCATGTTTGACCCTTTTGTTTTTGCTCTTGTGGTTTAGATTTTAGGACACATTATAAAAAGCATTTGGTATGTCTGTAATGTATCAGTATAGCTACCTTAACCATTTCATTTTTTTTAGAAACACTTAACGTTTTACTGAGGCATATAGATAATGAGTTTCCCTGTCGCACAAAACTTCATTACCATATGCTCAAAGCTTATAGGATGAATGTCCGACAGAGGGAAACATAAGTAAACATTATGTTTTAATCAGCTGAATGCAGTTATATATGGAAAAAGATAATTTAGTCCAAACAGACTACCTATTTCCTGTTGGAGGAGACCTTGTTTTCATGGAGGTGTCAGAAATATAAAGTGTGTGGAAACCTCTTACCCAAAAAATGCTTTCCATGTAGACCTATACAGTACAATATATTTCATAAACCATGTATTATTTAATTAAGTTAATGTTTTGAACTTTGCTATCACTGTAGAAGTAAATTTAAAACCATCTCAAATCTAGAACAACATTCTCAGTTATTTCTCACTTTGATTTTCTATGCTAGACAGTGTCAAAATCTTCATTTTATTGTGATGAAAGGGTTTTTTATTTCAATCAAGGAAACTTTGATGTGTTTTAATGCTGTGGTGGAAAGGTACTATGATATAAGTAGATAAGTTGAGAACTAATATGTGTATTTGCTGACAACTGTATTTATAGTGCCACTGAAAATATATACAGTTGGTATGAGTATAGTGATTAATGATAAATACACAAACTATTGGAATTGTAACAATTGTTTAATTTCATAACCATATCTACCATTTAATGGCCATTTTCGTGCAGCAAACTATTATGATAAATATGAGGTACTGTTTTATAAGATATAATATAAAGACATTTGCTTTTTTTTGAGAGGAGAGGGAGTAAAACAGTTTTTTCAGCACTTAGATTTATACAAGCACTGACATTTATTCAAAAGAAAAACTGAATATCATATCAACCACATGCTGGATATGACAGTCTAAAATAGGAGGCCTGGGTCTCATTGTACTTGTATGTGTTCACGTTCTGTTAGCGGAAATTACTAATTAGCTTTATATTTGGAGATTTGAAATTATTGCATTTGGTCTTTACAAATGTGTACATGATAGCTGTATAAGCAAAAGCATACACATGTAGTTGCAGGGGGAGGTTATATAGAAACTGAAAGCAGTCAAGACAAGCAGAGTAGCATCCCAGTTCTTATAATGCTGGAAAATCAGTCTGGCACCACCAAGATAAAAAGGAATAAGATGCTCCCAGAGCAGTATTGAGTGTTAAGAATTTTGATTTTTTTTAATGTATTAATGAAGTAATACCATTAAATAGTGAGTTCACATTGTATTAATGAGAATGAATCTTGCAAACATAGTATGAAAGTTACTGTTATACAGTTTTTCAGAGTTCAGTGATAGAATAAGTGAGCAGCATCAGCCTATGTGGGCATACAGTAAAACGGCCATTTATGCACATTTTTACCGCCCTTGCCTCTTTTTAAGAAAAGTGTACATTCACATGGAGAGTTATGCAAGTTGTTCCTTTTGTACCCTGCAGTGACATCATAATGCTCATAGTTTCACAGGACCAGATGGGAAATCTAGTGATGAAAGTGAGTAATGGGTACTCACATGCTGATTTAGACAGCTAGGGCAAGATTCTCAGCTGGTGTTAATCAGCAAAGGTCCACTGAAGTCACTCTGATTTAAAGCCAGAATTTTCACAGATAGGAACCTAAAAATCAATCTTTAGGTGACTATATCAGCACCTGAAAATGTGTATTCAGGTGCCAAAATATGGATTTGGGTCTGTGGTTTGAATTTTGCTCTCCCAAATTCCAGATATGCAAAACTTCTGGTTTGCGAGTTTGAACATCCCCAACATTACAAACCCTGCTTTTGGGGGTTGTGCTGTAAGAGTTGCTTGACACTAGATCCCACCACAGCGATCCATCTACTCTAGCATCAAGAGTGGCTAGTCCCAGTACTTCAGAGGAAGGTGCAAGAAACCCTGAAGTAGACAGTTCTGCAATAACCTGCTCAAGAGAAGTTTTCTTCCTAATCCCCCATTAGCCAGAGTTTGGTTTATCCCCTGCATCATGAAGACGTACATAGTGTTGCTAAACTGGTTTAAGACTGAAAAATTAATCATTTTAATCTATTTTGGTTGATGTTTCCATATATGTCTATTGTATTAAACAAAATAATAGCTGATCCAGCTTCCTTCAAACTAACCAGACACTGCTCAGACTGCAGAGACAGAGATTCATCAACTCATTTAATTGGATTCAGCCCGTATTTTAATAAACACAGATGGGTCCAGGGAAGTAAAGGGAGCAAAAGAGAGAACTTGTACATTTGTGGGTTACCGTGAGTCAGGCGAGGGTTTTGCTTTGTTGGGGGTGTCTGTAATAATGTGTACTACTTAATATAGAGAGCAAAATTGTCCTATGTGGGTAGCCACTTTGCACTGCTCCACTAACCTCTCCTGAGCCAGGGAGGGTCACTCCCATGTAAGAGGCATGCAGTTATGTTAGTGAGGATCATCCCAGGACAAGGGCAATGCTCCTGATAGCATTAAGCAGCAGCGAGATTTGTTCCTCTGTGCAGAGAGAACAGTGAGGTGGTTGTTGGAGTTGTGGGTGGCTGAGATGCCCTGATGCAATGTCCATCCCTGGGTCTGTTTTCAACCTCTCCTAAGCTATTGAAGCCCTGCTGAGGTGAGCAGCAGTCTGAAGATACAGGGAGGATGGCCCTGCAAACAGTTGCAGCAGGATTTGCAGATTGTAAAGGTGCATATGAAGGCAACCTTTTGCTCTGTGAAATTTACTGCACTGCAGAATGGGGCCGGAAAGTTCTAGCCCACATATTGTTACAGTGAGACCTCTTTTCAAGCACATAAGCTATTGTGTCGCTGCATAAGAAAATTTAAGACTCGTGCCCTGGAATTAAACTTCTGATGTACAAGTGGTGCCTGTCTGTGCTCTGTCAGGGCAGTACAACAATAATTATCTACTGCCAGATTTGTTTCAGAATAGCTGTGTACAGGGTTCTGGCTGTGGGCAGGGTTTCCATCGCTCTCCATATGCCAGATCCAGTCTGTCGTTAACACATATGCATTTTCTCTAGGTGTGTTATGACTAAATGCCACCTATTTTACCCATATATTTTGATTCAATTCTCCAATCAGGAATGGATTGCCCTGTCATTTCCCTTCTGGATGTTTATAAAGCCTTCTTTTAACTGATAGGAGCATTATGACCCTGATTCAGCAAGCTAGCCTTATTTACACAGTACAGGCTTAACTCACTCAAGCTCCTGCTTATTTTGCAGAATTAGGGTCTCAGCAATGAGCAGAGTTCAAAGTTTGGCTAAAATTGCAGAGTCCAAACAGCATAATTAACGTGTGGGTGAAATTTCCCCCCCGGACAGAGAGTCCCCATAAGGCTAATGCACTGCTCAAAGAGTGCTCATGCTCTCTGCAGATGGTATTTTTTATTCAGAGTGAAGTCTGCCTATGTGCAATGTAGTACATCATCTCTAACAATATCATTGGTGACATTTCAAATAACCTAGGAATAGTATATGCTTGAGTCTGATGCAGCATTGTGCTCTTAGGATTACTTCTTTTAGCGGTGAATGGATTGTCTATCACGGAGCTGTGTAAGGTGGTCAAAAGTTAGCTTTTTAGCTGTGACATGCCTTCGTACGGAAAAGCAACAAACAAAAAAACCCACATTTGTCATTGGGGTGATGGATTAGCTATACCATCTCCACAAAAGCCCAGAATTCTTCCCAATGCTGTTCTCCTGCATTTTTCCCTATCTGTTTCTAATGATTAAATTTCAGTTGGCTTAAGCATCTCTGGAAAAACAGCCTTACCCCGACACTGCCAAAGTTGTGAGAGGGGACCCCAGGACACAGCTGCAGCTTGTGACTGAAACCAGTGTCAAGTCCTTACAATGGCACAGTGTTGACCATGCAGGGCTTTTTTAACATACCAGAGCAGTTCTTACTCTAAAGCCGTGTGATAGATGGGCATACACAAATCTACTGATGCTTTTATGCAATACAGAAAGTACTTCACTAGATAGCAGGTATCAACTGCTAGGCTACGTCTACACTGGCCCCTTTTTCGGAAGGGGCATGCTAATTTTGAAAGTGGGAATAGGGAAATCCGCAGGGGATTTAAATATCCCCCACGGATTTAAATAAACATGTCCGCCGCTTTTTTTCCGGCTTGGGGAAAAGCCGGAAAAAAAGCGTCTAGACTGGCCCGATCCTCCGGAATAAAGCCCTATTCCGGAGGATCTCTTATTCCTACTTCAAAGTAGTTCTCATAGCTGTGCAAAATGCATTAGTACTGCCTTGCACAATCTCTACAGTTTGCACTTTATCATTATGGTTAATCTTTAGTAAAATTGTCCAATGCTTTGTAATTATAATATTAGCATTTAATTGAAAACCATCTTTTAAAAATAATTTGTTGCATAATGTAAGCAATTAATGTTTATTCACTTTGTCTGTGACAGGGGGATATATAATTTATCCACTATGGCCTTTCTGTGCACCTAATTAGTTCCCGGTC